CATGTGCAAGAACACTACAACAAAATGGTGTTGCAGAAAGAAAGAACAGGCACCTCCTTGAGGTAGCACGAGGGATGATGTTACACATGAATGTACTAAAACATTTTTGGATAGATGTTGTACTAGTTACTGCTTATGTCATCAATCACATGCCCTCTAGAGTGTTGAACTACAAAGCCCCTCATCAGTTGTTCCCTCAGTCTCCTTTATTTTCCACTCCCATGAGAGTGTTTGGTTGTCGTGCTTGTCCATGATTTATCTCCGTCTCGTGGTAAGTTAGACCCTCGATCTATTCCATGTATCTTTCTAAGGTATTCCTCCTCTCAAAAGGGTTATCGGTGCTTTGATCCCATTGGTCATAAGTTCTTTGTCTCTATGGATGCTTCCTTTTTTTAGTATAAACCATTCTTCCATGCTTCTCGGATGAGGAGAGTAGCGTGGAAGGAGAAACAAGTCCAGGTCCGTCAAGTCTCTCTTCCTTCTATTCCGGATCCTGCTCCTTTTCATGACTTCCAACGTAAAAACTGTAAAGATCAACAATGTGACAAAGATGTGGAGCCACCAAACACTAAGCAATTGACACCTTCAGACTCTCAAAAGGTAAGTTCAAATGAACTAGGCACAATTGCACATGTTGATACTCCTGCTCCCACTTCGGTTGTAAATGACCTTGACATTCCTTTTTTTTATAATGACCTTGACATTCCTATTACTCAAAGAAAGGGAGTCAGGTCATGCACTACCAAACACCCCATTACCCAATATGTCCCCTATGATCGCATTTCCCCTCTTACCATGCCTTCCTATCTGCAGTTAATAGCACCCCCATACCAAGAAAGGTTGCAAAGGCATTAAAATACCTTAAATGGACAGATGCTATGGTGGAGATTAATGCCCTCCATAAGAATCAGACTTGAGAGTTGGTGGATCTTCCAAGAGGGAAAGCCCCAGTGGGGTGTAAGTGGGTGTTTACAATGAAACACAAGGTGGATGGGACAATTGAAAGGTACAAAGCAAGGTTGGTAGCAAAAGGATACACTCAATTCTATGGTGTTGACTATGATGAAACATTTGTACCAATAGCTAAGATGAACTCAATTCGGGTTCTTATATCATTGGCTACAAACCTTGATTGGGAATTGCATCAACTAGATATAAATAATGCCTTTTTAAATGGTGACCTGGTGGATAAGGTGTACATGGTTTAACCCCCAGATTGTTGTGCCAAAGGAAGTAAAAATAATGTGTGCAAGATAAGAAAGTCCCTCTATAGTTTAAAACAATCTCCCAGAGCATGGTTCAATAAGTTTTATATGGCGGTCCAGTAAGTAGGATTCAAACAATGTCAGTCTAATCACATTCTCTTTGTGAAGAGATGTTAGGAACAGGTTATTGTGTTGATAGTGTATGTGGATGATATCATCATTACAGGAAATTGGAGCTCAAAAATACAAAAGTTGAAGGAATTACTAGCCTCTCAATTTGAAGTGAAAGATCCGGGTCCACTAAAGTACTTTCTTGGAATTGAAGTTGTCCGCTCAAAAAGGGGCATCTTCATTTCTCAGAGGAAGTACATCCTTTATCCGTTACAAGAAACAAGAAAGTTAGGTGCAAAGCTAACAAATACTCCTATGGACGTTGACCATAAATTGGGTGATTGTGATGGTGAACCTCTGAAAGATGTGAAATAGTTTCAAAGGTTAGTGGGAAGGATTCTTTATTTGCCCATGGCACGTCCAGACATTGCTTATTCGGTTGGGGTCCTAAGCCAATTCATGCATTCCTCTAAGACCACACATGGAGGTAGTAGAGAGGATTCTTAGGTATTTGAAGAAGTATCCAAGAACAGGTTTGCTATTCAGTAAACATAATCATCTAAAGGTGGAAGTCTATACAGATGTTGATTGGGCAGGTATTGTGGATGATAGAAAGTCCACAAGTGTGTATTGTACATTTGTGGGAGGAAATCAAGTGACATGGAGAAGAGTAGAAAGCCTTATGTGCTGATTTCGGCAAGCTTCTTGTGAAAGGAAGAGGAGAAAGTTGGGGATTTCAGCAATAGACAGAGGAAAGGGAAGAAAAGAGAAGAAGGTCRACTAGGATAGTGATAATTAACCCTAGCCGCCARCCCCTCATTCTATTTATAATTAACTTAAATATGGGATATTACAAAGATGCCCCTAGTAGGGCGGCAACTCAACTAAGTACTTACAATTCCTTTAAAAAAAAAAGACTAATGGGCCCAAGGCCCAACACTTCTTAAAATAAAAAGAAAACAAACTAAACATAAATCGGCCCAACATAAATCAGCCCACTCAACAAGAAGTAAAAAACGAAGTGTAGTTGCAAGGTCAAGTGCTGAAGTGGAGTATAGGGCTATGGCATATGGGGTGGCTGAAGAATCTTCTAGGGGAGCTTGGGGTTACTGTTCACAATCATATGTCCATTTACTGTGACAATAAGGCAATTATAAACATTGAGAACAATCCTATCCTACACGATAGGACCAAGCACATTGAAGTGGACAAACACTTCATAAGAGAAAAATTGGAAAAGGGAGAAATATGTACTCATTATGTCAAACTCCAAGGAGCAACTAGTTAATGTTCTCACAAAAGGGCTTCCATACTTACAGCTAGACCTGTTCATGGGCCGGGTCGGGCTGGGCTTTTACTCTTCATTAACAAAAATATGTTAGGCCCGAGCCCGAGCCCGGCCCGACCAACGGGCTTACAACTTGGGCCCGAGCCCGGCCCTAATAAAAAGCCCGAAGCCCGAGCCCGAGCCGGAAGCCCGACCTAATAAAAAAAATTAGATATTTTCCCTTTTCAATAATCAATATAAATAAGAATTTATTTACATTAAAAAAATATTTAAATTCAAATTTTATTTATATTAAAAAAAGAATATAAAGAAGGGAAAGAGGATGTGGAGAAGAATTCAGTTGGAAAAAGAAGGGAAAGAGGTGAAAAAAAGAGGGGTATTTGACTAGGGTTTTTAGGTTTAGTTATAGGTCGGGCCGGGCCGGGCTCGGGCCGGGCTATTTTGTCAAATCCCGAGCCCGGCTCGAATTTATCGGGCCACCCGGCCCATGAACAGGTCTACTTGCAGCACAATGAGTTGTGTGACAAGTTGGGAATGATAGGTATGTTCAGCCCAACTTGAGGGAGAGCGTTGTTGGATTTGGTTTTGTTTCTGCTATTAGAGTGTTGTCAGTCTAGGGTTGTTTAATTATTTTATTATTAGGGTGTGCCGCCAGGGAAACGGTTGTAATTTTCTTCTTTTATTTACATCATGTTATTATAAATAAGAAGGTGGGCGCCGCCAGCCCAACCTTTTGACTCTCAAACACTTTTCTTCCTCTCCTCTTCTCTTCTCTTCTCTTTTCTCTTCTCTCCACCCCTCTCTCTCTCTCTTCTAGAAAGAAAACAGCTCTCTACTTGGAATAAAAATCAGATCTTTCCATGCCTAGAAATTGTGAGCTTAGCTTGGTTCATAACAATAAGAACCTATAGCCTCACAGATTCTATTGGTGAGATGTTCTTCATAAACTCATTCATTTTTTACTCCCGAATTCCCAACAATGTGACAAAAGGGGTGATCCTCAATAAGATGTGTCCTTTTAATCTGAAAAATACTGCTGGCCTAGCCAAGATTATTGAAGTAGACACACATGGACCAGTATCCTCCAGTCAACTCTAAAAATGAAAATAAACAAACCAAAGATGTATGAAAGGAAGATTCTTCTGTCTCTTTGCATGGTGACATGCTTGCTAACTTGATGTTCCTTTCTAACTTGTTAGAAGATTCTTCTTTTTTCCTCAATACATTTAATCAAATAGTTCCTCCAATGAAACTCTTCCCATTCTCAGCAAAACTAAACAATTTATATGGACAACATTTTATGGCATGAACAATCTAATAACCTTATAAACATCATAAGATAAAGTGGAACCCCTTTTCTGGATAACAAAATCAAATCATCAAACATATTTTGTTAACTACAGAGTACAGAATAACAACCAGCTGATAAAAAAACTACATAGTGACAAGCAACATGCTAAACATTGTTTTAAAGAATATGCAATTAAATGCACTGTATAGTTGTATTACTGTTTTACAATCTCAGTTAGTCTAACCATCCAAGTTGGGTTGACAGCCACATATGGCCATATTTGAGACAAGAAAAGAAAAGGTCTTGCCACATCTAAACATATGTCGGATGTATTCTAAAAAAATCCACATTCTGATATACGAAACATAACCTCTGGTCACATAGAAAGCATAACAGACAAGAGAGAGGAGAGTGTAAAATATGGGCTAAACATAGTTAAAAAATGCATCATATGCATAGTTTCATATTTTTACTAAAAACACATTAGATGTCAAACTATTCAAAAATACAGAAAGGCATACGTGATTTCCATAGAAAACACAAAATATGTAATAATAAGATCTTCAAAATATGAAAATGGTTTATTAATTTAGCTATTCTTATAACATAAAATGTGCATGTTAACAGATTATACATATATAAAAATGCCAAATTTTTCATTCTGGATTATTGAAAACATAGCATATTAAACATATATTCACTTTTAACCAATATTTTTTACTGAACCACACATGTTTGACAGAAACAGAATTTTTTTGTATTTTTTTATTCTTGAAACCAAAATATTCCAGTATCACATTGATACCATATACATATTTACCGACTATGCTGTACACATGCAATCCTACCCATAATACATTACATGCACCCATGCAAATATGACCTACACCATATTTATGTGTCTATCAAAATATTAGATTCATCATTCAACATAAAAGTTTGCAATCATAAACACCCATTAGTACATGGCCTTCACCTTTGCATGGGAAAGGAATTTCTTTTTTTTTTTTTGTGTGTGTGGGTGTGTGCATGTGGGGTGGAGTGGGGTGGGGGAGGGGCCTTCTTTTCCTTTCTGAAAAGGGATAAAAGAAGAAGAGGTCCTAACCTCCGCATCGCATCTATATCTTCGCCTGAGAGGCTCTGAGCTGTATTATCATCAATAATTGCTCGGTTGTCCTTCAATTCATCTTTCAATTGACTATTATCTTTCCGTTGAGTATTACTGCCTGAACAGGAAAAGGGGAAAAACAAAAAACAAAAAAAAAAAGATGCATTAGTTGTAATGGACAAAAAAAAACATATTAAAAGCAGTTAATGCAATTGGGGAAGTTTCATCATAAATATTACTCTTCCAGGAAAAAGATTATAACAACTTCCCGGTGCACCTCACCAGGGAAAAAGACAGCATACAAATTCCACACAGACTGAGAGCAAAGCATCTGGAACACATTCTGATGCATCTAGATATAGTTCTCATATAGTAACTTCAGTTATTAAACAAAACATAATAATTTTTTTCCAAATTTATTGTAATACACACAGCTTCAGAAGTAACAGTAACAACGATTTCCAAGGTGACTACAGGATCCTAGTGCTTGCATTTTGTAATAGAATCCTTAGAATGTATTCTAAGGATGCCTCTTTAAAAGAATGGCATTCAGTCTAAGCAGAACTTCAAGTTCCACCTTTGCCACTTCTCATGCCTTCCTCATTCCAACTTTTAACTCTTTTTCAGGCACTGCTACACTTTACAAAATTCAGTTTCATGACCATACTGATCTGGCTTTTTTTTGGTATCAGTAACAGTGAAAAGATTTTATTTATTAAAATAGATAGTGTACATCAGAATGGTAAGATGGTCAGCCTCAGCTAACCATCCCAAAGCTTTCGGAGTCAATTACAATCCCCCCTTGTCCAACCATTCCCCATTACAAACAGTTTCTTGTTACCCCCTGTTTTGTTTTGCCAACCATCTGCTTAGGGGTGCAAATGGATCGATCAATCTGATCCTATATTTGTCGGATTTGGATAGCCCTCTGTCGGAATTTCGGATCGAATTCGGATCACCCATATCCGATCCGATCCGACCTATATATATAAGCATATTTACTTATAAAAAAACATGTATATATTAATATATTTATTTATAAATATTTTGCATTGCATTTTTGTAATTTTTTTATAAAAAAATGTATATATTAATATATATGATGAAAATAGTTGAAAAAAATACTTATATTTTTGTTTTTCTTTATATAAACTTTTATATTTTTCTTTTAAAAATTTATTAAAATTTTCATAGTTCAAATCGGATTGGATCATATTCGGATATCCGACTCCTTAACAGATTCGGATTCAAATCGCCATTTGTGAGATCCGATCCAATCCATTTGCATCCCTTCCCTGATCTGCTAGGCCATTAGCTGACGTAGGTGTCCACTTTATTCTTGCTCCAATCATATTGATCTGTTTCATAACCATACAAACATATATCTTAAGTTATATAGTGCATTTTGATGCACTTTGATCTAGCTTGATACCACAAATACAAAGTCAAGGTATCAAGGAAAAAATAATTAAATGGACAAAAAATAAGGGAAAATGGTAGAGACAATTGAATTTATAAAAAAAAAAAAAAATCTATTTAAATATTTATTAGTTTGATTATTTAGTCAAGTCTTACTTAGTATATAGATGACATAACATTTGCATAGACCAATGATATATCTTTTGAAAAGAAACATAATATACAATTATTTGATATTTCTATAGGAAACAACATATTTAGTTATACTTAATACACATCTTACATGGTCTACAATAATAGATGAAGTCAAGCAGTTGGGATAAGGATTTGTTGAGTTGAATTGATGTTTATAGAGGATATAACATATCAACTTAAATTGAGATGGGGTCTGCTGACAGCAAAAAGCATGTGATCATGCTGAGAACACAGCACCCAGCTGCACATAAGGAACATCTCCACATGAATTTAACATACAAGTACGGGAGATGATCCCAATGTGCAGCTGGATGCCATGTTCTGAGTATGTTCACACACTTTTGCTTGCAGCAGATCCGGTCTAACTTAAAAAAAAAAAAAAAAAAACTAGCTCATCTGCTTTGAAGCATTCCAGATTTTTTTTTTTTTTTTGATCTGTTTGAAGCACTCCAGATAAGCTACTCAAAGAGGCTGAAGCAGACATCCCTTCACATGACTGACAGATGACTTGGCTGTCTGGATTTTCACCAAACATAGATTATAAGCTGTCCGTATGGGCCCACCTTGGAAAGCCAGAAGCTGCTGTGCTTCAGCCCTCCTAAACAGGTCTTAGTTAATAAATATATAGAAAATAGATTTAAACAAAACAAAAATGTGCCAAAACACATGTCAAACGTGTTTATTCCATATAATATGGCACTGACTGAGTCAGTTCTTTTTTTTTCTTTTGATACTAAAAGGAGTATATGTAAAAGGATTGTTCTTGTTACAGGAATCTAAATTTGGCCAGACCAATAGGTAGCAGCAACATGGTTAAAAGCCATCTTCAAAATGTTACCTGGTCATTGCAAAACTTCTCTCAGTTTATAAGCTCAAAGATGCCTGCTTGATTTAGAGTCATGATGTAACACTCACATGCAGAGACAAACATACTAGGTTGACCAGAGAAGATTCCACCAGACCTGGGAGCTCAACTTATGCTTTTGTAATGGTTGTGAAAGAATGAGATTACTTAAGGAACATAAATTGCAATTTTAGTACAGAAAAAAACCATACACCAAGTCACTTGTAACCACTGGAAATCCTTGGATGAATATTTGGTGCAAAAGGAGTCTTTTTAGAGACATCCAGTAAAATTGGAACAATACAGTGAAGATTAGCATGGCCCCTGCACAAGGATGGCACGCACAAATTGAGGAATATTTGGTGCAAAAGGAAGTACAAAGTTGAATTCATGTTTCCAAGGAACACTGTTACAAAAAACAAGATGAACTAAAAAAAATGTGCAGTGAACTTCTAAATCATTGGATTCTATGTGAAGATGCCATGTAAACTCAGCAAAGACTGAAAATGGATAGAAAAAAATCTCAATTGTGTGGAGAGCACCCCTCAATCAAAACACTGGCATCCGTATACCTTCTTCCCTAATAAAATCAAACCATCGGATGTATTTTTTATTCACTCTCCTCTTAAATAAATCAGGAAGCCATCATGATCCAATCTCACAACCGGGTTCAATTTGCACCTTAGACGGTAGTACAAAGTTTTAGTGAATATGTAGCACAAATCTAATTAAAAATTAATATAGCAAATTTGGCAGTTTATCTCTTTCTCATTCAGTTCTACGTATCAACTGCAACAGCAAGATACTCACTGTCAAAAAGCAGATAAACAATGCGTTAAAAGTAGTAAAATAATAACCCGACCTTCTGAAGTTGAAACTACACGAGAAAGATAGGGTCCCTTTGGTCCGCTTTCGACTTGAAACAGAGAACCAAATGGACAACCGATCATAGGCCCTAGGGAGCACTTCTTATTCCCAATTTTTATAGTCCTGCAATCCATAATGCATGATAACTCAGTACAGTTAAGCACCCACTAAACGGGCGAAATGTTTGTGCTTTCTGCATTCTAGCTTATGAGCCCATAAAATAATGAACATACGCAGCAGTGGAGAGACGAGCAAAGACGAGACGATCACCATCGTTAACGTCGAGCAAGACGCTGGAACCTTCGCAAGTGACCCTAGGGTTTTGAATTGAAGCAATTTTCAGGCTTTCTTCTGCCATATCTATGACCTTCACTGCAGAAACACAAATTGGAGGACGAGGTAAGAAATGATGTGCAAGAAGAAAATGAAGCAAGCATCAAAGACAGATCTTTTATGGTGTTGGGTGGCAGAGTATTTGGTACTGACACGCTCGGCTTTCTTTTGCTCTAGTACTGATTCTTTGACTTGAATCTTAAACCCTATTCTAGGGTTTAAAACTTTAAAAGTTCGTAAGACGTTCGAAATTTGGAGGGAGATTCCTGAATCGGATGTTCAATTCACCGTACTCGAAATTACATTTGCCATGGTGTCGGGCCTGTCGGTTTCCTGATACAAACGAGTTCGGATGATCGGATCCAGCAAGCCACTACATCTGCATACGAGATGTAAGGCCGCTTTGGGAGGGCTTTAGCTTTGATTGAGCTGCTCTCCGCTTTAACACCGCAAAGTAACTTTCATAACTCAAGTAACATCAATGGCACTATTGTCACTCGAATGTGAGAGTAAGCCTAAGTAATAAGGCACACAAATTAGTCAAAAAGGCTACTTATATTACATTAATGGATGGTAAGTACAAGTACATAGTTCAATGTCGTCGTGTTTAACCTTTACACGCTTACGACTCACTCGACTACATATCTCCCCTCAAAGAGTACGTTAAGCTTTTGGGAGATTAATATAAAGATACATCAAAATGATGAAAAATCATACTAGATAATTACAAGAATGTCATTGGCAATCCCCCGTAAAAATACATGCATAGCCCACCCATGACACACACTTGGACACTGGAGTGGCTGCTGTAGACACGATGGATGGCATTTGATGGCGCAGCGAAGAGAACACTTGTGACAGTCTCCCCCACTCAATTCAGTCTTCGTCCTTGAAGACTGGCTTCTGCTCAAGGCTCAAATCTGTTGTTGATGAAGGAGGGTTCTTCAGTTGCTCCACAAACTTTGTCTCTTCCAAGGCCCGGGCATGATGATGGGTGAAAGTCTTTAGGGTGTTCTTGATGGTGGGAAAACCTATGGCTAGTCCCTACGTTAAGTCTTTGCCTGGCTGCTTCAATGTAGGATTTTGGATGTTCTACTTTGGTGTTAGAAAGGTTTGTGGTCAGGGCTAGGTCAAAATAAAGGTTAGGATTTTTCGGGTATTATTCCCCCTGATGATTTTTTTCCCAAGGGTTACTCCTCACAAGGCTCCTATGAGGGTTGGTTTGATCATTGTGGTGGCGGAAAGGATACCTAAGTGGATTTGGTGGTACTTGCTCTCCCCGATGATGGTCATAGTGGAACTGGTTGTGGCTGGAGACGACCTTGGGTCTTCCGGGAGTCTTCTGTGTTGTCGGCTCGTGGTGCTGACGTTGGTGCCGTTATTGATGTTGATGTTGGCGTCGGTGCTGTTGCTGACACTGGTACTAGTGCTGGTGCTGATGTCGATGTTGGCGCTGATGTTGGAACGGCTTTGGGGGAGACTTCTTCCTAGTGATGACATCCCAACCCGTCCCAGTGTTGATGTGAGATGATTGAGACGGGGTCTTCCTTGTAGGCACGGCGCTAGTTTCGTGGGTATCTGCTTTTTGATAGTAATGCAGGGCCAAAAGTTGCTTCCCATGTACCTTCAAGGTTGTTGTCACTTGAACCATGCAAGGAGAACACTCGTCCAATATGAGCAGACTGTCTATGTGTGGCATGAGAGCTGCTTCTACTTGTGCAAGAAACTCCATTCCCAAGACAACATGAAAATCATCCAAAGGTACTACAGATAGATTGATGGGTCCTTTCCATGACCCAACTTGGAGATCTACCCCACGAGCCATGCCTTCTACTACTTTGGCCCTTGAGTTGACAGTGAGATGAAGTTATGGGTGACCCCAGTGTCCACCAAGGCTTGGGTCGGCCTCCCGCCGAGGGTGATGTTTATATATTTCAGCCCCTTGTGGGCTTTGGTGGGCCGCTTGGATGTAGTCTCATTCTTAACCATGGCATTGATGAGTTGGCAGGTGCCTACTCTTGGCGCTGCTATAGGTTTCTCCTCATCGCTCTCTTCACTATCGCTGAGTTTGCCGATGAGGGTAGTGAGTTTTTTCCGTGTTGGACAATCACTCGTCCAATGATTCTCATTGCAAAGGTAACAAGGCGCATGAGGAGTAGTTGGTCTCCTAGTGAAACAATGGCCCTGATAGCTTGGGGCTCCTTGTGGCTTCTTCCCTTGGTAATTGTTGGGTTTGTTAGTGGGCACTGGTTTCTCCTGTGTAGAGGTTGATTTTTGATCCCCCCCACTCAAGCTATTGGTATGTGGGCTATGTGGTTGGTGGTCTTCCTCTTTTGACTTCCTTAGATCAACTAGTAGCTCGGCCACCACCATGGTTGTTGTTAAGTCCTTCACCCCACGCCGTTGTAGTTCAAGTTCCGCCCATGGTTTGAGACCATCCATGAAGTTGAACAAATGGTCTTTGTTAGACATGTCGGAGATCTCAAGGGCCAGGGCTGAGAACTCTTGGACATAGTCATGCAATGAGCCTTGGTGCTTCAAGTTCTTCAACTTTGTTCGTGCCAAGTACTCAACATTTTCGGGGAAGAACTGTCACTTGATCTCTCTCTTGAAATCGGCCCAGGTGTTGAGGGTCCGAGTGCCACGTTCAATGTCCTTGCAACATCAACGCCATCATAACATTGCAATATCATTTAAATACATGGCGGCTATACGTACTTGAGTTTGGTCATCATGGATGCCAGTCGCGGAGAAATATTGATCAAGTTGCCACAATAAGTTTTCAAGCTCCCGAGCATCACGTGCACTGAAGTATAGAGTTGGTTGGCGCACCTTGATGTGGGTGGATGGAGCAGATGAAGGGCCGGTGGAATTGGCCATAGCTCTTTCCATGATTGTCAGCTCGACCCTCATCTCATCCAATTATGCTTGGAAGCTATCCATCATGCCTTGAAGGCTGCTTTGGGAAGAGCTAGCTTGTGATTGTTGCAAGGTGTTCTGGACATCTCGGAGGGCTCTGTTAAAGCGGCTCTCCAGCTCCACCATAGCATTATCTACCGTCTCCATGTTGAGATGGAGTTCGTCGACCTAATCTTGAGTATCACCTACTGTTGCCTCGTAGTGTAGAATGCGCATGTCCATGCTAGCTAGTTGGTTGACAGATTTGTCACGCTTGCTAGCTTTAGTTGTGCAGCCCTTTGGGGCTTGCGTCTTGGCAGGATCATCGAGTGGAGCCTCATTGGTGTCGTGGGCTTGGTGCAGCCCGTATAGTGTGTCATCAGCAATGTCACAATTGCTCTTCATTGTGCTAAAGGGCGAAGACAGGGTCCAATGTGTGTGTAGGAGCTCCTGCTCTGATACCAACTGTCACGGGGCTAGTCACTGGGGCCCCGTGTGGCACTAGAATGTGACGAGTAAGCCTAAGTAACAAGCAACAACACAAGAAAGACAACAAGATGGCACACGAATTAGTCAAAAAGGCTACTTGTATTGCATTAATGGATGGCAAGCATAAGCACACAGTTCAGTGTCGAGGGGATCTCGTGCTTAACCTTTACACGCTTATGACTCACTCGACTACCTACCTCCCCTCAAAGAGTACGTTAAGCTTTTGGGGGAGTAACATAAAGATACATCAAAATGATGAAAAATCATACTAGGTAATTACAAGAATGCCATTGACAATCTCCCATACAAAAATACATGCATAGCCCACCCATGACACACACTTGGACACTAGAGTGGCTGCTGTAGGCACGATGGATGGTACTTGATGGCGCAGCGAAGAGAACACTTGTGATTAGACATCTAATTAAGGGTGTGAATCGGGTTGTGCCATGGCATAATTGTGCGGGTCGATACGTCACGGCCTAGCACAGCCCATACATATAAATAAATATTTAAATATATATAATATATAAAATATTTATAAAATAAACAAAAATTTCAATTTTATTATACTATTTTATTTAATTATTGTATATATAAATAATTGTATACATCAAAATTCATATAAAATAAAAATTTTAAGATTTTTTTAAATAAACCTTTCATAGCTTTGGCCTGGTCCACACCTCCACGGTCTAGCTTGGCCCAAAGCGTGGTTCACAGATTAGCCCATCTCGTAAACCGGCATGGCACAACATGGGGCTGCATGAGCTCGGGTTGTGGGCCATGCCGGGCCGACCCCCCAAAATATCCTAAGGAAGGGAGGCACGACCCATTTTACAACTCTAATTAGACCTTTTCATGAGTCAGGTAGCTTGACAAGGCCAACCCGTTATAAGTCTAGCTTAGGCTTGGACATGAATTTATGCCCATGGACTAGGGCTCAAGCCCAAAACACCGAGCCCAACTTTTATGCAGGTTGGTCTTGGGCTTTATCAATAAAGCCCAGCCCAAGCCCGAGCCTGACTTAATAATATATTATATAACAAAAAATACCTTGGATGAAAGATCACACTATATCTTGAAAAAGGAGAAAAGGAACAAAGAAAATAGATATTATATGTATTTTTATTATATAAAATAAATATAGGGGGGATTGTATCATGAGTCAGCTCCTTTTTTTTTAGTTTTTTTTCTTCAACCAAGTTCAGAGGGGTCAATTTAAGGCCCGTCTACCCCTAAACCGGGTTAGACCCCGAAACACCCCTTGGAGGGGGGTATCGAGAAGCTCTCAATATGATACATATCAGTCGATAGGCCCGATATGTATCAAAAATTTGAACCTTACTTTCTTTATTTTTGGGTTTTGAGGTATTTTAATATAAATTAATCAGTTATTTTGTTGAGTAAAAATAGAAAAAAATCCTTTTTTTTCTAATTTTTTGTTCGGGCTGCCTTTGTATGAGTGTTGGGCTCAAGCTCAAGACCTAGGCCAGATGGTTAGGCTAGGCTTGGCCTCATGCCTAAATATGTTATGTTAATATAGAGATAAATTCCTAGCTTGAACCGGCCCGGCCTAGCCCGTGAACAGGTCTAGTTGTAATGGCAATTTCTACCCTGCTTGGTGGGTACCCATCCTTACTCATCCCAAGGAGTGGGTTTTTTCACTTGAAGGATGGATTTTGGTGTGAGGTTGGGTTTTGAGATTTTACAACCCATACAAATACTAGTAGGGTATGGTATCAGGCTAAACTCAACCCTCCCCAATATGCATATTGTTGGAAAGCATATGAACTTTTATGTATTAAGTGTTGAATTTAATAATATTTTGAATTTTATGTAAAGAATAATCAATAGTTTGTGTGTTTTTTACATGTCTTAATCAAATAATTGAAATTTTTGATGTGTGATCATGTTATTTTACTTGTTTATTGCTCATACATAACAAGAAATAATAAGAAATTATATGCGGGTTCTAAACCCAACCTGCCTACCCTTGAATGCAATTTGGGTTTTGTATTTTCATGCGCAAGGAGGGGTTGAATTATCAAAATCCTACCTGGTATGGGTTGGAAGGTTTAGGGAGATAGGTAGGGTATA